ATGTATAACAAAATTATCAAAATGGAAACATGAGTATAAATGTAGATATGATACAGTTTATGGCTCGGTAGAAAGACCAACAGACTCAGTAGACAAGAGTTACATCGCTGGTTTTCAGAGACTTCCAGCTTAACTTTGAACAAATCAGAACTTCTTTATGTCTGTTCTGATGTGTCAATCCAAAAAATATTTCTTCCTTCATGCTTTAAAAGGATAATATAAGGTATTATTAAAAGGAAAAATGAAGGAGGAAAAACAAAGATGCATGATTTGGGACATAATGACTTTCTGGGAATGCAGAAACACTGGCATGTATAAACATGTAAAAGAGTTAGCAGAGACACTGGCATGAAGCACACTAAGGAAAACAGGGATAAAGAAGAGGAATGCACTTCAGAGGTTCACCTTTTAGCCAAAGATTAGACAGGCCCATAGGACAAAACGAGACCAAAGGGGCACACCAGCCCAGGGGCAAGGACTAGAAGACAGGAGGGTACGGGAAAGCTGGTAATAGGGAACCTAAGGTCGAGAAGGGAGAGTATTGACATGTCATGAGGTTGTTAACCAATGTCACAGAACAATATGTGTACTAACTGTTTAGTTAGTTTGTTCTGTAAATCTTCATCTGAAGTACAATTTAAAAAAAAAGAGGGATGAAAGTTCAAATTAAATGTGCTAATATTCTTATTACTGGCATGTTGTATGCCTGTTTGCAAGACGTGTAAATGCTCTTTTCAGTATTAAAATAAAGTTATATGTGAAAGATAAGAGAATATTCTCTGATATATTTGAATGGAAGGAAATATTAACATATAAAGCTAAAATGGCATAATTAGAAAAAATAAGAAAGATTCAAGACATAACTGGGAAGGTGGAAGAGAAGAACAAGGCAGAAGACTAAACTGGGTATCACAAAGAAATAGGAGAAAGCACCAGAGTGGGATGTGCGGGAGAGAGGAGCGCCAGAGAGCCATCCGCTATAATAGTAGGGAAGAGCACATCCTAGAAAACCCAAGCTGTTTTCAAAAGCAAGCTGAACACTGTATGGATGATCAAATAAAAAGAGAAAAGACCACCACTACTCAAAATTTAATAAAAGTAAAACAGGAAAGAGAGAAGAAAATTTAATTTTAGTGGTATGAACTATGCATGCTTGACCAGAGGTCCCATTTGAAGTACTTCCTGAATGGTCAGACAGATGTCACTTAAACTACCAGAGTTAGTCTCAAGCTCTCACTCTCTAGAATAGGGATAATATGAAAAAAGAATTTGTGGACGTGTGTGTGTGAGGGAGAATGTGTGCGTCTGTGTGTCTGGGAGACACTAACCTGTTTTCCAACATTTTAGGTATTTCACTTAATCTTTCAGGATCCCAGTTTTCTCATCAGTAAAATTATGAGGATCTCCCAGTTTTTAACATTTTAGGATTTAAATAAGTAGGGCTAAAGTGGAGAGAAGTTATTTGAAATCACTGTTCTGGAAAACCTACAAGTATAGGTGTAAGGAGCTGGAAGGATTCATAGAGGCTTAAAATGAATGTCATTGATAACTAAAGGGAAGAAATCCTTTGGTATATTCAATTCATCATGTTGAGATTTTGCAAATGGTAGTGATTTATACCGTCACTGTGGTAACAATGGTTTGCCATGCAACCCAATTAAAAGATTTAAAACAAAGGAAAACAAATGTAACCCTAAGATGAAAATGCCAATATACTCTTTTAACCAAGAGTCTGTTGTCAAGCAGCCTCTCCCATCCAGAAATATATACATATATATGTTTTCAAAATGGCACCGCGGTTTCTTGACTACAGTTCAATTAAGCAGCTATTTTTATGATAATAAATTCTCAATCTTCCAAAAGTCAATCCTTTCCATATAGACAGAGGGTAAGACATATCTAAAACATCAGCAAAGAAAACAAATTAATGGTTCAAGTATTGTGTGACTCAAAAAATAGAAACTTAACTATTATCATGGCAATACAATGACTGTGGTTTGGAAAACCACTAATTATGTATAGAAAAACTTCAGAATGAAAAAATATATGTATTTTTATTCCAGCCTTGTATTAGATTTCTTAAGATTCACCTGTCTGCATACAGTAATATGATACAAATATGAAATTATATTACTTTATGAAAAGAAACACTTATTTTAGAAAAATAGACATAGGTACTATACCTCTGGGCAATTTAAAATATATTTTGCCTAAAGTATTATATTTTAAAAGTTGTACTTTTAAAAGAATCAGTGAGGAAAGGAGTAATTCTAGTATTTAAAAGATAAAAAGTAGGTAGACTGGGTTGGAGAATTAACAGCAGACACAATTACTGAGATTGTCTCTCTTCCACTCTCTCGGGCTCCGGGATAAAGAAGAATCAATTAGCGCTCAACAGACTATGACCTTGAAGGTTACAGCTCTGTACATAATATGCTGAATATGCTGAGACAGATAAAAAATAGAAAAGAGAGAATCAAGTCGTGAGACCACGGGAGAACATGTTTCGGATACGATAATGTCATTTTATAATACAAGCCATGCCGGCTCGGTTCCTAGGAAAGACTGCATGATGAAGGAAGCCCCAGAGCTCTTTCCGTGACTAAACGACACTTTCTCTGCTGAAGAGAAAACAGTGAAAGAGACTACAGAATGACAATCCAATTATAAGCTTTTTTGTTGTTGTTGCTGGTCTTCCTATATTTCATCGTTACAACCTTTTAAACAACAACAACAAAATAACCATTTTTGAGTCTCTGAAAACAGAGCTTCCTGGACCAATGAATCCTTTTCCGAAGAAAAGACTCAGAATTTGTATGATAGTAGGGGTTTGTTTGTGTGATTGTCCTTTTCAGACACAAGTCTAAAAAATTAAGAGTTCCCCACACAGAAAACGGAATAGACTTTAGAATGTTAACCAACTGTCTGACCCTAACTTTTAAGTCGAACGCTCCCTCTCAGGCTGCTTCTGCAGGCTCCTCTCCAATGCACTTCGGAATGCTGCAGCTGTGCATCTGGCCAGCACCAGCCACTGAGAAGCTTTTAGGCAGCAGTAAATCTTTTCCACTCAATGCAAATGTCACAAAAATCAATGCCCTGGCTTGGAAAAAGAGAGAAAAAAAAACCATATGGAAATATAATCTAGCAGAACACTTAGTAGAAGAATTTGCTTAAAAAAATTATTTCTCAAAACTTCACAACATACTTTTTGACCTGGTGTTACATCAGGCAAATGTGCTAGATGTCTCTTTGTTTTCCTCAGATTACAAAATTATAGGATAATTTGGTTGGAGAGTTCTTCAAAGGTTTACGTTTCTTGTTGGGGAGAACAAAACTCATTCAGGCACATTTAGGGAAGGCTTATGCTTAAAGTGAGAAAGAGAGAGAAGTAACCTTGACTTCATGGTAAATTCTGCTTTCTTTGCAGGATCTGTGCTTGCTTTTTATAGCCTATCATTTCATCTGGGTATTATTGCCGGGTCACTCTGCCAGGTGGGAAGAGGCAGGCAGCAAATGCAGTGATGTCTGTCAGACCTTTAATGATGCTTCAGGGATTTGATAAAAATACAAAGCAGTGTGTGTGCATAAAGGAGTTTCTTCCCTAATTACACCTGAAAAACAAGCCTCTCTCCTCTTTCTTTTTAAATCTTTGCCACTGAAAGCAGTTGTGTGTGAAATGCATTTGAAACACAAGCACAACTCAAGTTTTTCCGTGTTTCTACACTATACGGCTCCACTTCGTACTGAACGTAATGCCTGGGAAGGGTATCCTTGATTATCGGATGGAAGGAAAATAAAAGGCAGCTCAACACAGAATCCTTACCTTCAACTCCCTTTGACGTCTAAGAGATTTTACATACTAATTGGAACCAAATTGTCTGATCTCTTACTCTTTCCTACTAAGGAAATAGCCAGCAATGAATACTGAGCAGTATTCACCTACTAAGGATAAATACATCAATACCAATGATGGAAGAGAAACAAAAATAAACTAGAAATTTAAAAAAAAGGAGCAAACCCCTCCCTTCCACATGAACATTTAGGACAATCTGACTAGTCATGGCTTCATCCCTGTCAACTTTCCATTATGAAGCTATTGCAACGACCTGGTGCAAACAGCAGTACATCGTTCTGTGTTGCTTTAAAAGCGTGGGCCGTTTCACGCACAGGTCATTAAACACGGCTGCTGCAACCTGACGGGCTAAAAGGATATATGTCTAAGCCACCGTGGACCTTGGATCTTGTACTTTTTAATGGCTGCCAAGGAAGCTATTTAAACATTTGATTACAGAGGACAAAACTAATTTGGGAAAATCCTTTTATGTAGAATTGTACTGTATCCTGAAGAAAAAAAAGTGCTCTGTAACCAAAACTACAATCTAGACAGGGCAGCAATAGTCTGAAGCTAGTGAGAGGCTGGATAGGGCGCTGCAAACGTTTTAGGACTTGATGCAATTCAGGAAGAACCAACTGAAATACGAACGTAGGGAGGTAGGGAGAAAAGGTGAGGGAACAGAAGACAAGACGCAGAAAGATAAGAGGCAGCGTGGGGTTGCTGGGAGGTAACACAAAGGTGAGAAGAAGGTGACAGAAGTCTGCAACAGGAAAAAAAAGACACAAACTAATGCTCACTGGTACCTGCCAATTAAATTGAAAAGAACAATTAAGAATTGTCTGATCTAATTTTAAAAAGTGGGAGAAATAAGTTGAATTTCACTGAAGTTCAAGCGTGACTTGCAGATGCCGAAGGACTAGGTCCCTGACCCCAGGCTGAACCATCAGGCTAGAGGGAGCTGCTGCTCGGCGGGGATTCACACCAGGAGTTTACAAGCTTCGTTCACTCTCCAGTGCCGCCCCAGCACCCAGTCACGTGATTTGCTTAAGCAAAACCATGCAATTAAAATGCAAGAAGAAAGGGAAAGAGCTATACGCTCTAGAGAAGACTTTTGGGGACCTCAATCCCACCCCCTTCCTTCATTCATCTCTCTCTCTCTACTTACAAAGTTTAGGTGCAGTTTGGAGATTAGTTTCTGTTGTTTGTGGCTGAACTGCTGACTTGGGTGTTCTCACCTCCGGGTTCCGAGTAGGTGGAGGGAAGGATGGTGCAGTGGACGGCAGGAAAGAAAAAGCAAAAATACGATTCTTCGGGGTTGGTGCAGCTGAAGGTTCAGAAGATACAGCAGCACTGGTACCTCGTACTGTAACTTGAACCTCAGTTTCAGATTGAGCCCTAGGGACAGGTGAAGTGTATGCCTCAGATGATACCCACACAGCTGAGGCAGCAGTTGGATCCAGAGAAATAATAGGGTCCTGGCCTAACCCCCCAGGGTCAAGGTGAGTAGGAGAGTCATACTCAAATATCTTGTCCACAAATACCCACTTGAGGCCAGCAATGCAGAGGCAGAGGCTGACGAGGCAAGCCAGAATGGGGACAATGCAGATTTTCTCTGAGTTGAGGCAACCTCTCAGACGCTCCGCTTCCAGGCACACGCAGCAGGGAACTGCCAGGCCCACGAGTCTGGGGGTTCTCCCGTCTTCAGTCTGGGTCTCTGGCATGTCTTCTGCTGCCGGAAGCCCGTCAACAGATGGGTCTGGACTCAGCTGAGTGGAGGGGCTGGAGGACCTCTCAGCAGCTTCCTCAGACATGTCTGGGGAATAAATCTCCATCGGCTCACCTCCAGAAGGCCTGGCCTCTCTCAGGGTCCATTACCATGCAGAGGCCCCCCCAACCAAATGAGACAGCATCTTATAAGGGGAAATCGATAAGCAGTCCAAGTCCAAGGCCATTATCAAAAGCGAGAGGAGTTCAGGAAGAAGGAAGGGGAAAAAAAGCTTCTAACAACTACAAAACAAAAGTATATTGTGATTCTTCAGCTGCTGTTTCTGGGCCACTTTGCTAGTTCCTTTAAACGCTTCTTCACACCATCCCGGCTTGTCAAGAGAACAGCGACCAAAATAGAAAACGAGCTGATGGTTGTTCGATTAAGTGAACCAGTAGCCCAAACTGAAAGGCAGGTTTCTCACCTCAAGCATCTGAAGCTGCTGTCTGCTGAGATGAAGAAAACAACTGTCATGCAGAAGAAGTAAAAGCAAAAGCAGGACCAGCGGTGGCGGTGGCAGCAGCGGTGGTGGCAGCAGCGGCAGCAGTGACAGTAGCAACAGCATCCTGTTGTATTAACGCAGCGGCTGAAAGAGGCTGAATCATTACAGAGCAGCAGGTGCCTGCCCTCCGAGCATCACTGCAAACAGTCTCATCACAGAGGGAGCTGAAGGGACCAGTGCGGCCAGGAGGGGCCGTCACTCCCTTCCCCGCCCTGCCTCCACCCCCACCCCCCAGCCACTCCTCTTTGTCCTTCTTGAGCGCTCATTCACTTTCTTTCTCTGTGGCTTGTCCCTTCTTCCTAGTCTCCTTCTCTTTTTCTTCTCTCCTCATCCAAAGACGTTTCTCTCTCTGTTTCTTTCTTCCTCCCTCCTCTCTCAGCCCCCACCCTCTCTCCACACTCTAGAGCTGCGGCTGGTTTGAGTAAAATCAGTACACCCAGCAACCCAGGACCGCCAGTGACTTCCTGTTTTATCCAATTAGGAGGAATAAAGGCCATCAAATCAAAGAGAAGCAGGCAGGCACCATTTAAGCTTAGTCCCCATGCCCCCCCCCTTTTCCTTCTCTTTCTTTCTCTACAAAAGCGGCCCCAGTCTTCCACCCCCACCTTGCTTGCTTTCAGTCTTGCTGGCTCTCCTTCCTTTACCCACTGTTGGGTCAGAAAAAGCTGGCGATCGATGCTAGCAATCTAACAAAGCTGGGATGGGGAGGGGATGTAGGTGGGACCTTATGGGTTGGACCTGAGGCTTGGCAAAGTCTGATATCTGATTCCTCCCTAGAGAGGTAAGCTTTTCAACAGCAATTTCTTCCTGCCTGCTGCCGAGAGATAGCATTCCTTCCCTAGCCCGCTAATAAGTTTTGTTCACCAAGAAGACTATTATTATCTGATTTTCAACCAACAGTTAGAAAACATTTTCTAACCATGGACAGCTCTGCCTTTAGTCCACGATAGAGACAAGTGGCTTGTGCACAATTCTGAAACATCCATTTGTGCAACGATTGTTTAAGACTTTGTAACGCTCAGTGTGAAATGCTGAGTGTATGCTGGGCGGGGGTGGGGGGGCAAGAGAAGGGGAGGGAGGTCCACATATTCCCACTCTGGTCACCTTTACATTTCTCCTTCCCCGTCCCGTGCCGAAGCAGGCACAGATGAATGTCAGGCTAACGAGGAACTGGTAAGGTTAACAGAGCCACGAAGGGAGCAAAGGCTACCACTTCATTTTTAAATCTGCCTTTCATTGTGACTCCACGCTGCAGAGGTTCACATTCCCTGGGCACTGTAACATATACCACACGCCCTCAGTTATAACCGCACTGCAAGTATTAAAAAGAGCTTTCTATAAGAGTGTGACTTTCGGGTTAGGTTTCAGTAGCTTCACCTTACAGAGAGTTTTAAAGCTGATTTTTTTCCCCCTTTTAAATCATCAGTAGCTAAAATCCCAGAAGTGCACAGCCCTTCAGGGAGCGATCACGGGCTCCCCTGAACCTCCCACTGCCCGTCAATGCACACTAAATGCATCTGAAGCTTTAATCCACACTTCACTGTGACTGGACACCTGCAGGGTTTCCAAGGAACCATTTTGTTCACCTATGTCAACAGGAGCCCTTAAAAACTCTCTCTAAATCTATACTACATAACCGTTGTAGGAGTCCCCAGAAGCGGCAAAATCTAGAGCCCAAGTCCTGAGAAAAGCTGCTTTAAGTACATTATATTTTACACAATACAAAATCGCCACTGTGTTGCAATATTTTTAAGCTTTTAAATAGGCGTGAGATCCAAATATTATTCTTTCAAAATGAAATTAGTCCATAATTATAAATCTTTAAAAGGTATTAATATTTTAAAATGCGTTTGCAGTACTAACAACAAAGCCTGAACTAATTTGCATATTTGTAACCATAACTATGACAAGTTTACTGGCAAAATGAATTATCCTTTAGTTCGCCGCTACACAACCTACATTTATACACCAGTAACTGGCATTTAAGGAGCCCCGGGAAGCGCAGTGGTTAAGCACTTGGCTGCTAACTGAAAGGTCAGCAGTTCAAACCCACCAGGTGCCCCGCAAAAGAAAAATGTCGCAATCTGCCTGGAAACCCTATGGGGCAGTTCTACTCTGTCCTACACCTACAGAGTTACTATGAGTCAGAATCAACTCGATGGCAATGGGTTTTTGTTTTTTTTAAGACCTGTATTTTAAAATAATCCTTATCCCACTTTCTTGCTTTAACTGTATGATTTTGAAGCAGTGACTGTTTTCTTACAGATTCTGGCAATGGACATGAAATATCACATTATAGAAAATCTAGACTGAAGCATTTATAGTACTCCAACTAAGAGATATTAAGATTTTAATAATCTACATTCATGTAAATGTACAAAAACAATATAAGCTGACAGATTTTTATGCTAAAGAGGGTAATTTATAATTCCTTCAGAGGTTACCCAGTTTAAATATGTGACAATTAACTCCTCAATCCTACCCCAAAGCAATATTACACTCAGGAATAAGACATTGGCATGTCATCCATGGACAAGGTCATCTGAATCTCAAAGACCAATATGAGGTTCAGGTAACTCCAGTCAGGCAGACATTAGAAGAACAATAATCCATAGCTGAGAAAACCCATCTTTAATTTGCACCAATGGCAACTAATGCCCTCACCTTAATTATCAACTGCAAACATATGAGACAAAGAAATTACTAGATACTACTCTAGTTGTCAAGGAGCCCTGGTGGCACAGTGGTTAGAGCACTAGGTTGCTAACCGAAAGGTCATCAGTTAGAACCTCCCAGCCTCTCCATAGGAGAAAGACCTGGCAGTCTGCTTCCATAAAGATTTACAGCCTCGGAAACCCTATGGGGCAGTTCTCCGTCTTATAGGGTCACTATGAGTCAGAATCGACTTGATGGCAGTGGGTTTTGGTTTTTTGGTTTACTCTAGTTATCATACTGAAAAGTCCCAACAGTTACAAATGAAAACAATGTATTATCCAAAGGCTAAGAGTAAACATGAGAGCAGAATTCTGTGAGTTGCCACAAA